TATGTAGATTATAATCAATTATAAACCGGGAGAACATTTCAGGGAAAGTCTTAAGAACGATGTCAATCTACATCTCGGAATCAAAAGCAGTTTCCATGTTCTGATATTTTTGTTGTAGCACATTTGACATGGATGCTAAGATGTAGCAACGGGCCATCTCATCAGAATGATGCTACTTTTCGTATGTGATTTTTCAAGATTCTGTAGAATCATGTTTAGTGGCTTCAGGACAAACTTTAGTCAACACAAATTTGTGTTTTTCAGTGATAAGAACAATGTTAAGATTTCTTTTCCAGTCAACGTAGTTTTCTCCGACAAGTTAGTTTTTGTTAAATATCACTGATAATGAATTAAACGACATTTTTCTATAAAATTAATGATTCATGTATTAATAAAATGAACAATAATATGTATGATGCATGTATATGAGTATGCAAATATGGACCCAAAATTACATTTTCAATCAAAGATCTTAAACCCTTAAAACTTTTAACACGACTTCTATAGAAGGTCAATGTAGTTGCCGACAAGGTCTGGACCCCCTACTCATTTTATTAAGCTAGGCATCTCATGTCACAATAAAAAAAGTGGATTACTTATTATTTGATCTATGAATAATTTTGTTAGAACCTTCTATAGGAAGTCCTTCAAAAACTTCATATATAAGTGTAATAACCTCCTCCATTAATTTTAAAATATCCAAAATATATGAGATGTTCTCTATAGGATAATCACCCCATTATTCCATTTTAAAAATATTAAATTGCAAGATCCAATTTCAGTTAATCTAAAATAATATAGTCTTCCTATAAGGAGACCGATGTAATTCGATACTTGACATACGTATTTTAATAAAAAATTAGATGATTGAGGAGGCTGCGGGTTTATACATGCCATAAACCCTCTTCCACTTATTGTTATTTGAACCGTTGAATTTTCATTTAATAATTAATCAACCAAATATAAACAAATCTAATGTCACTAAATTATTAAATAAAACTTATTTAACCACTTCTAATTAATTTAGAGTGATCAAAAAATATATGTAATACCAATGCATATGATTTTAGTGCACTGGATTGTGTTTCATTTGATCTACATAACAAGTGAAAATCATACATTTATTCATCATCCATAAATCGATAAAATCAATAATTAAATGAATTATAATCATTATGCCTCATTCTAAGAATCTAAATTACAACAAGAATTAAAGCATTTCATTGGGCCACATTCCGGTCCAATTCATCAATTTCCTTGTAGTCCAAACCATTCAATATCCAAAATGTGGGGTAAATTTAATTTTTGAGTCCCAATCTATAAAACAAAAACTCTTATCCAACAAGATTGAACCAAGTCTCAAAGAAAAGCCCAAAACCTTAAAATTGAACCCAAATTGGACAAATCTTAGCATCATCATCAAGGAACCAACCCCACCACTTTTTTGGTGATGTCACCAACGACCCCAAAAGGAGCCGCCGTAGTCGCGGACACCGGCTGCAACTGTTGTGGTCGATAGCAGCCTGTGTTGCTTTCGGCCGCAGTGGTCTCCGCCGCTCCTGTTGCGGCGGCTGCCGCTACCACTTGGTGGTTCCACCATGGTTTTACTTCCTTTTGTCCTATTTCTCTTTTCTCCCATATTTTCAACCAACACCTCCATAGCCATGCGTTTTTCATCTCCGAAAACACCAATTCTCCAAAGAAAAAAATAGAAACATAAGAGATATTTAAAGCCACAAAACCCATCATTTTCTCTTGATACGCAAGTGTAGAAATATGGAAAATGAATATATAAAACCCTTGCGCTTTATGGCTTATAATTTTTCTAGAGAAAAGTGCAACAAATGATATAAATTCAAATAATGAGAATCAAAAAATTCTAGGGCCAAAAGTGATTATATATAAACATCTACTTTAAATATATAAAGCAATAAACATGTCAAATCAAATAACATAACACCACACATACCAAAAATGCAATTTACACTATTATTTAAAACTTAATCCTACCCAAAGCTCTCAATAACCATTGGCACCGATACCATTTGTTGGTTATTGGATTTAATCATCACAAGAGGAAATTAATTTTCCTTTAAAGATTAAATCCAAGTGAACAATTAATCTTAGATAACCTTGAAATCATTGGATGATTTTTTTAAAATCCTCACACATAAAGATGATATGATAACCTTGAAGGAGTTTTTAATGACCTAATCAAGTGCTTTATCCCTTAAATCTTCTCCATTATTTTTCTTTATGTGTCTCCCTTTTGGAAATATGAAAATGTGGCTAATCCTAAAACTTGAGAAATGTTCCCACAAAGGGCATATTTGTAATGTTCAATTAGGTTTCATAATTGAAACCTAATCGGATTTACAAGACCCGAGCTCTAATGGATGTTTCTAATTGGTTCGATTCTTGACCAATTGAGATACATCTATTAATTCCGACTTATTCTACCAAAAATCCAAAATTGCACTCTCGAGTCGAGTGATGGTTATGGAACAAATTATGATCCGTTAACAACATCCTCCGATTATCATTCCACAAGTCAACCCCATTTGACACTCCATATGTTGAAACTAACAAAATGACCGTTTTGCCCTTCAACATGTATTACCCTTTAAATCTCATTTTCATAAGGCAAATTCGTTATGTTCAATTCACAATGTACAATCCAATGATCTTATCGTCAGACTACAGAGCTCAAATTCAATTGCCTATAGAAAATACCTTAGAGCGAAGATAGTCTCATCATGATGATTGATAGACTCCATTATTACAAGTATACGATCTCTAACTGTTTTGGCTCGATTTCCAAAGCACCGAGATCAATCTTTTAATTGAGACTTTACTTATTGGTACCTTAAAGAACTTGAACTATCAAAAGTACATTACTCGCTCAAGTGATAAGTTAAAATAATATATTATATATTTCAAAAATCATGTGATAAGTTAAAATAATATATCATGTATTTACAAGATGTTATTATGTATGAAATTTAGGAAAAACCAATATTACCAAAATCTCTATATACACAATTTCCCCAAGCCACCATACCCACGCCAATTCAACAAATATCTCTTTATACAACTTACCAATCAACCATACCCACCCCAATCTCACTCTCTCTAGTAGATCCTTCAAATTGAACAATCAAGGAATCATGTTCAATTGGGTTGTTTTAGTTGACATTGACAATCTCTATCGTAGGAAGGCGAATGGCAGAGCTCATTAGCAAGAGGTAGGGATTGAGATTCATAGGTGGTGTTCTCATCATTTGTTTAGTGGGCTTGGGCAAGTGTGACGTTTAAAAGGAATAATAACACCGTGGTGTGGCGGTGGCGGTGAGTAGTACAATTGGTGTGGTTTGCACGTGAGATGTATAAAAAGTTTGGAGCGAAGATGTTGAAAGCATTTGGATTTCTACTTGTCAAATGTTTAATGGAACTTAGAAAAAGGATTTGCTGAGGAGATAAAAAGAAATTATAAATATAGCTATTGCATGCCAATGATACTGATATTAGTTAATTGAATGCAGATGTAGAACAATGGCCACAACTAGAACACTAGACTAATATTTAGCTAACTTTTGTGTTTCTGAGGGCTGCTATAGTGTATTTGCTTTCTTGTGTCTTTCTACTTTAGTTCTGTTTTCAATTTTCATGTAAAAAATCGTAGGTTGCTTCTATTAGACATGATGGTAAATAAAAATCATGTTGTCAATGATAAATACAGATATGTGAGATGGGTGGAAGAACTGATTAAATTTGTGCCAAGGAAAATGATGTGGATTGTTACTAGAAATGGTGTGATGTATTGGTGAGATGTGAAGCAAAAATTCAAAGGAAAATGGCGTGTGCCAAGAGAAATTAGTGATTGTCACCAGTTAATTGTATAATTTATGATTAATAAATTATATGTGTTCTATTAATTGTTTGATTTGTCACATCATATGTAATTGTGACCAATAAATTGTGTTGTATGTGATTGTGACCTTGAATAATTGTGACTTATAAATTCTATGATATGTGACTTTAATTGTGACATGTTTAATTTTAATTATATGTCACAACATTTATCCAAGGTCACAAATGTGACCACTTGATTTTTTAATTTTTCCACAAATTCGTTAATTATTAATCTTATTGAAGATAATTGGTTCTCTCACCTCTTACTTTCACTCTCTTACGGATTTCTTGGATTTCAAGATTATTATTTTTTAAAAAAAATTAGGTGGTCACATTTTGTGGCCTCTTATAAAATTTTGTAACTTATATTTTAATTAAACGAATCTTGAATGCAATAAGACAATTTATGTTCACGATCATGTTCACATATCAAGTCACACAATGTCATAGTCACAAAGGCACAATTGTAACTCACAATTATAAATTTAATCGCAAATTACATGTTTTTATAGGTCAAAAATTATTTATCGATAATAAATTATTAAATTAATTTGTCATAACTTATTTATTTAAACACGAATTGTCAAATTAATTGATCACAATTTATTTATTGAGCACAAAGACACAAATTTTAAGTCACAGTTATAAAATTTAATACTAGATCGCACATTTTTTTAGATCTTATATATTTTTTTCTCACAATTACTCATTTTATTAATCAAAATTATCCAATAATTGGTCATAATTACCCAATAATTGGTTATAATCGTTATTCATCCAATCCACACCATCCCATCACCACCGACACCAAAAAAATTGTATATCCTCCTCCTCCTCCTCCATCATCACCACCTCCACCACCACCATTACATCATGTAGATCAACTCCAACGCACCGCCACTTGCACCTCTACCCACGAACTCTACCAATCCATCTACTCCACAACCGCAAGCACCATTTGTAGTCTCGCTGTCACCATAACCACCACCACATTCACGCCAAATCCAAAACCAACACCGCCACTTCACCCCACCTTACCGCACCAACTCAAATCCACAACACACACCTAAAATTTAAATCGCTTCAATTCAACGTTCAACTCCTGCTAATTTTTTTTGCTTTGCTACAGCTTCATCTTTTAATTTCTGAGAAAATTGTCGGAACCTACTAGCAGAGATTTGGCGCATAGTTGGTGACTGAGAAGCTAACATCGACATCAACATTTCAATTCCAACAAATCCAGAAACGAAGTCATTGTCGAAATCTATGTTAATTAACGTTGTCAGTTCAATACCATGTATGACTCTCGCATCATCATCCTTGAGATCAAGCATAACCACAACAAACTCCTCGGTCAGAATTACAGAACCTCCTTCACTATAGACTGACTTTTTCGATGGCCATCGTGTCATAGAATGATCACTGACATTCGTGTTATTCGGATTCTTCCATTTAATCCTCCCATAATAAAAATTGTAGAAAATTGTGAAACAAATATGATCACATTAGTTAATTTTTCTAAAGAACTCCTGAAATTCGAAGCTATTCATATTATAGGGTAATTTTTCGATGAGAAAATGAATTCATCTTGATGGCAAGGCACAAATCTCGAGTAGCGATCCTTGGGTGGGACGGATTGTCACATCGGATTTTTTTTCCCCCTGGTTTTCTCGACTTTCTTTTTAGCAAATATTTCATTAACATCACTATAAAATTACTACAGTATGTTGGAGGTGGTTTCTAGCTGTGGTGGCGCTATCACTTGAGTTGTTCCGATAGTGTTGGTGGAGGATAGTAACGGAGGGAGGCAAAGAGGTGACTGCTATGTACACCCTCACATATTTTAACAAATTGTAACAAGATTTAACCCAGAGTGTAAGGTACAATTCTGAAAAATTATGTACACCATAATAAGATTAACATGTAGTCTAAGTTATAATTTCAAAAGAATACATATGATGTAATCGGATTAACATAAAATGTACGTTAAGATCATTGTAAACAAATACATAAACTGTAATTTGCAAATAAATAAATTATAGAATTAAATACACGTTAAAAAATTAGTAATTTATCAAAAAATTATATGCACGTCAAAAATTATATAAACTGTAATTGTTCGGATTTGTCTTCAAGTGCTAGTTGAAGTTTTAGTTTTGCAAAATTTAACAGAAATCAATGTTT